TACAATGTATACAGCTTTGGAAGGTCGTGTGTGTAAAATTCATTTTATAAACAAGTACGACAGTGTTTCAACAAGGATTTCCGGCGGTAAGATGTTAAATCTCCCCTTGATGGCTCAGAGCACGTATGTTTGCCTTGTTTGCAGCGAACAGTTGCCGTTTATACATCGCATCGCAGGATTTTTACTCATGACAACGAATAAACACACACAAGGTATGTAATGTTTAAAACCTTTCTCAACAGGTACTAAGTTTTCCAGAACGGAGATGTGTAAGTCGCGATAACTCTCTTGTATTAGTTCATAAACAATACACATCAACTTCTAAACAAAACGATACTGGGATGAGATAGTAGAATATCACGCCAACTGTTCAGAAAAGAAGAACAATATTTCTGAAGCAATTAAGTTTAATTAATTTGATTAAGAAAATACCGGTTTACAAGGGAAAGAAAAGTAGGGAAAGAGCGAATTTAAAGATAGGAGACGAAAAGTTAGAAGAAGTGGCCGATTTTAGGTATCTAGGAAGTCAGATAAGTCAGGACGGAAGGAGTAGTAAGCATACAAAGCAGAGATTGTTAAAGGTGTATGTTTGGAGCGCGGCGTTGTACGGGTGCGAGACATGGACAGTGGGCGCAGCGGAAAAGAAAAGGTAAGAATCGTTCGCAATGCTGGATTACAGGCAAATTATGAGGATACCCTGGATAGAGAAGGTTAGAAATGAAGAGGTATTAGAAAGAGTAGGAGAACAGAGGATTCTATGGAAGTCAATAAGAAATAGGCGAGATAGGTAAGTAGGACACCTTCTCAGGCATGAAGGTCTAGTGAGAGACATATTAGAGGCAGAAACTGAAGTTAGGAGGGGTAGAGGTAGACCTAGATTAGATTACTCTTCGCAAATAGTCAAGGATGTGGGCTGTTCTAGTTTTAGGGAAATGCGAAGTTTAGCTCAGGATAGGAAAGAGTGGAGGTACGTGTCCAACCAGTCTCAGGACTGACGACCTTATGTAGATGATGATGATAAGTTTAATTACGATGAAAACGTTAACAAAAAATTAAGCACAACCAAACATAATTTTGATTATATGTATATTTCTTCAATAAAGTTTTCAAACGAAAATTGGTTATAGAGGCTATAGGAATTTTATATTTTTGCATTTGTGAGACACGAGCGATCTTTCAAAACTTGAAAATTCTTGACTTGATATGACATTTCAAATGAAATGCTTCTTCAGTCCCGTTTTTCTGGAATAGACATCGATTTTCTCATGCGTGAAACACATTCTTGTAAAGTACCTTCGGTTTTGCGAAAAATGTGTCTTGTTCTTCAACCTGACTTCATATAAAAACAGCGTACTACACCAAGAGTGTAAATGATTATCATGGTAAATATGAGAACAAAATTTATTGACGCCACCATAAATGAAATTTGACAGGACTCCATAAATACATACTCATTATCCTTTCAGATATATAAAAATCTGAATGCAAAATTGATAGGAAAAGCTTTTCAGTATCATTGCACTTCCATGTTTTATCTAGGTCACACATAACTTTCCGCTTTCCCATAATACCCCTTTTCATTCGATGAAAATCATATCGAAGAGTGAGTGCAGAAACTTTTCAATGTATGCATTCAGGCGTCAGAAGTTGAAATTCACACTGCCTTGCAAACTTTAAGTCGTGTCAAAGTTCAACCAAGTCAGTTCGGTATCACAATAATTTACAATAGAAATGGAGAATCTTATCTATTAACCTACATATCGGCTTTATGACGGTATTGCCGAATATTGAGAAAAGATTCGCATCAATAATTTTTGCAACCGATAGTTCTGTATTGTCGCATGTTACTATCAATTTTTACCCTACAAGAACGTTAATGGGATTAGAACCGACAATAATAGAATTCGTTACAAAATTGCAACTTAGGAAGAAATAAAAAAATAGACCAAATTGTTAGCAATAGTTAGACAATATTATCAAACTTTGAACTTTTCTTACGTAAGTTCGTGATTTGCGCTTTTGATATTTTAATACCTAATAAATGCAACCAGCCCTTTTTTGCATTTCCCGAAAACTGAACTTTCCATCTCTTTAAATCACTTATGTATTGTAGATGCGAGGGGATCGCTTGACATAGGAGAAATTTATCGTAAAACACATAAGCATAACTATTGAAAATATCAACTTATTCTGAAAGGATTGAACTAACAACAATCAAACAAGGATAAGTATAAAACACAAATTATTAGGTAGAAGCCGCGAGTTACTGTGGAAAATTTAGTTAAACGGTAGTACCTTTACCCTTCCTTGAATTCCGGGAGGAAACTATACATTGTATATGGATGCGCTGGCTCGAACTCTAAGGGGAAATTTCTTTACAGGGTCGTAATCGTCAACCCAACGCCAGTCTATGATTACTCGACGATTCCCGAACCATATGGTCCATTGGATCACCACTTCCTCCCGGCTTCACGCCCATTTCGCGGACCTCACTTAATCTCCCTCGCGGACTTCACTTCATCTCTCCCTTTTCTCCTCTAGCTTTACTTTTTATAGGACCCCATATAGGGTTTGTTTTCGTCATCGTCACACGGCTTTCAATACAAATAAATTGTTTCAAAACGTAGCAGTTTATGGTCATCTTGATGGAGAACCAATAATGTAAGTAAATAATTTACCTTCGCATCGAATTTAAACTTTTACGAAAACCGCGCGGTCATTGAATAGATGGTTATTTTTATGTGCGGCTTTTCTCATTTTATTGAGATGCTTGCATGGAGAACTCTTCGTATAAGCAAAAACGTTGAGTGAATAAAACCACCGGGAAAGATGCTATTAATCCTATTGCCGAACAGAGTTTGAAGCAGATTTAGAAAAGTGTACCTACAGACGATCAGAACTTCGTTCAAATAAAACGGAATCCAAACAAACTATACAGTTTACGATATACCTAACAGACGTAAAAAATTTACTCAGTAACCTTACCAATATCAATGCGAAAAATTTTAAATTCGATACAACAGTTGAAATCTTAATACGTTAGTTAGATCTGAAGCTAATATGACAGTAATTAAGTATAGTGGTCAATCTCATTCCTATTAGTTTTCACCATCAAATGTACAAATCCCAAAACAACACCAAATATCGGTGATAGAATAGCGGACACTGTATTAAGAAAATATAAGTTGATTGAACCAGGCATAAATACAAAATTGCAAACTATAATGATTATATGAGTGCCACGGGCGACCATCGATACGACGGCATCTTTTATGTAGACAATACACGGTCACAAATCATACGTCCATGCGAAACAAGAACGCTCGGCAAAAACAGTTTACGTTGCTAGAGATAATCAGGAATAGTTTATATCTATATCTAACTGAAGACAGTCACTTAAGGACAGGTGAAATAATTAGTGCAAAAGCGAGAAGTATAAGTACTATAAGTACAAAGTAAGTTAAACAGGCAGTTATTGATAAGTGCGTTATTGTGCAAAATAAATTGCTTACATACAAAATCCGTGAACATAAATACAATTATAGGTACTAGAAAGTTCGTTCTAATATGAATTGTGTTGCATTCAATTTACCGATATAAAAATTGACATAAGCTTTTAATTCCCGCAGTAAACGGATAAATTTAACAACATGAAAACCCATGTGACCCGTAGCCATTCGAAAATAGCTTCGGCAATTTCTCTAATTGTTTCTCTAGTTGGTTTTTGTGGTAAGCCGCTCATTTACTCCCGTGGGAGTCCGTATAATTGAAAAGAGGAGATTTAATGGTAACAGTTAATTCTTTGACATCGTGAGAGAGCACTAAGTGGCTTTAATTAAAGCCGAACGAGCCTAACAATGCAACTGCAGCACACAGAGCTAAAAATGCATTTAATACAAAAGCCTTTAATTCGTTTTCCAGTGGGTATATAGGCACTGAACGATAAAGGCAACTTCTCGTTTCGGCACACAACTGCAAACTCGTATCTGATGGATTTAGAATAAAAGAACTTACATTGCTTCAGGAACCGTGACTTAAAACAGTTACTTTCAATTATCCTATTACCGCGAGGCGAATACAAACAATTGTATCCCTAAGTCGGAAAAGCTAAACGTGAAAATGTATTTATATGTATTAAACATCAATTCTTGAAATACTTGTACTTACTGAAATTGCCACTGCAACTTAGCGTACTTAAAATTAAATGTCCTCTAAAAGGATTTTCGCCGCGTTTCCTGTATTATTTACAGTGTACCTATTGGGAGAAGTAAAGTACAGAAAACAGCAAAGAATAATGATTGTTTAAGAAAATAAAAAGCTGACAATAAAAAGGATCACTGAATTGACAAGATTTACAGCAAATGGAAAATTATTTCAATTTGAAAAATTATGTTTCAATTTTTATAATACATTTTAGAAAAAACTTTATACAATTACGTCATATATTTTTCAACCGTAACATGATGATAGTAACTGGAATAACCTCCACAGAATTTAATACTGTATACAGATCAATTTCCAAATACCTATTTAAAAGCGAGAAAGCGAACTTTAAGCCATATTATCATGAACTTTTGTTTTATTATTTGGAAAATTTCAGTTCTACTCAAATTCCTTTTTTAACTGGATTAATTAATTGACAAAGTTGTCGATATATCCGAAATTACATAAAAAGTTTAATCAGGATATAGATGCTAGTAAACAATATACTAACAATAAATTTTCATTGTTTAATTTATAAGGACAACATATTTTACAATTAGAAATTATTTCTCAGTTTTTTTTTAATTGGCATAATTAACATTTATGTGGGTGAATAAATTTTTTGCAATTAACTTTGTACATATTATAATTTTTATTTACTGTTCTGAATTTATTCATCCCAAAATGACGACAATTTTCTAATATTTTCTTTTCTGAAGAAGTATTAGCAAAAGTAGCTAATTGTAATAATCTCGTAATTTTTAAGCGCCTTTTGAATTAATGCAAAATAAGCTCACCTACAAGGATGTGGTCCTAGTAAGGATGCAATACGAAACAAAACTGAACATAAAAAGTCAATGTACTGAACTATAATTAAAAAATACTATTCTTTATATAGTTCACCACCAACTGCAAGTTGATTAAAAAAATCTGATTTCACAATAGTATAAAGTTGCACAAATCATTTCACCAAGTTGAATATTATCAAAACAAAGTTTAAAATTCTAAAACTGCTATCTAACCGACTGACAAAGTTGATGAATATTCGAACTTTCAAGCGCAAAATTGGTAAAATGCACACGCCGACCGCTACAGACTACAGCGCGCGAATAACGGCAGTGAGGAGTAAATGAAATCCAGTAGGCCAACAGGATGCTATGCGACGACTCACTTCCATGGAGCGCGAGCGACGCGACCGACGCCGGAGGTCCCGAGAAAGAAGGAAAAACTAACTGATCGCCGGCGCCACAACGCGAGTGTTCATTTTATTAAGCAATATACATTTGGGACGGGCAAACGGTGGCTTGATGACAGGCACACGCCAGAGCCCCTTCCGGATGCTCTGTGGATGCGATACGGATCGTGGACTCTTTCATAAACTCACGAGGGGTGGAGAAGTTACAGACAATTCCGAGTATTTATCTTGAATGGAATCTATTATACGATGTCATATAAATCTCGTTTGCTCTCGACTATTGCTTTTAAAGTATTTTAGATAAACATTCAAGATTCTGGCTTAAATCAGGAAACAGTTCCTAAATAAGAACGTTTATTTTATGTTCATGGTCATAAAATTGATACTACCAGACGCGGATTGCGACTTGCATCTAATTAGATCTCATCAGAAGGACCGGTTGATGTAATATCCAAATAGAAGCAGTATATCGCCATCTAGTGGGTATTTGGTGTTAATGAAGTATACGTTAAACTGACTTTGAACAATTTCGTATCGTCCACCACCAATTAGTTCTTCAGTTTTTATAATACATATCGTAGTTATTTCAAAGCAAAAAGTTTCTTTTATACTATAAATTTGACATATAAATAAATATGTTAAACCACGACATAGAATGTTTTCCGACTAAATACGTATCGATATGATATACAGTTTAGCTCCCTCTCGACTTACTTATTGATCCCTATACTTTGTCGCCGCTAGTCTTTCGAATCTTCAAGCCTACGAAACTAATATGTTTCGCTATATACGTGACACTCTTAATTTATGCCGGGTATTACCCTGATTAGCTCGTAAACCAACTTTTGGAGGGTTCCGAAGCACGCTTAAGGCAATACAGGCAGTTAATTCTGACGATGCAGAAAAACCGCCCCTCCTTTGAAGCATATGATAAACAACTCGAAACGGTAGTTTCATACAAAGGTCTCAAAGACAAACGGTTAAACTAAATGACACTGCTTTGAGCTAAAGCGAACGGAAACGTTGGACAGGTAAATGGAAAAACGGAGAGAGCACACACAAAAGATTTCATACGTATGCGTATAACATGTACCAAAACGGGTGCACGGACGTTTTCCACGACCTAAATCCACACTGCACACAGTAGTAATAGAAAAACACGGGTACCACAAATGCTTCCGGTTATTCTGAAACTCCAGATGATATCGACAAGACCAGTCGATATTACTACAATCGGTTACAATCAAAATACTTAAAAACGGTGAAATCCAAATTTGGTCTCCTGGAAGTTTCTTAAAGTTTGAAAAACATGGTTCAAATAAAACAAAATAATTCGAAGTGGTCTGTATTCTGTCGAAACTGCCAGACGCGGATCGCGATTTCGATCTTTTTGGATCTCATCAGCGCGTCGCAGGCAGCTCCGACAGACCACTTCGAATTATTTTGTTCGATTATGGTAACGTGCCTACCACGTTGAGGTGAGCTACGCCGGGATTCGTTTCAACAAGTAGATATCCATATTTTTAAATGGACCTTGTTGGAGCATATGTAATCCTCAAATGTAGCATCGTACTACAGATGACGCACACCACGCCATTTGTAGTATTTTCTTCATGGTTCAAATAAAATCATTTATTAACCTGAAGGTATATTTCAAATGCTTTGCTCGATAAAATGGTAGAAATTTATAAACTTGGATATTTTATTCACGAAAAAAAAACTATTTTAATTACAGGGGCCGTAACTCCGTACATCAAGGCTTTATTATGTTTAAACTACCGATTTTATGATCTCTGTTTCGGAAGCCACCTACGTTGGAATATTTAGCCTTGGGGCCACACGAACATTACAAGTATAATAAAATTGTCTATATAAATTTAGCGAGATATGCAGGCCGTAAAATTATTAATAACTAATTGGCAAAATCTATAGGTATGGTTTAAAACCTCCCACTTTCCATCCCTAAGCAATATTTCTTTCTAATATGCCACCCTACTTTATTTCCCGTTTAAGCGAATTCTTTTATTTTTCCCGCGACAGTCGTTTTCCCCATATATTTAGAATTTTCCAAATATAAAGTTGTCGAATCGATTAAGGCCCTGTTTGGCAACGGCAACTCTCCACGTTTTATAGCTTTGGAGGTCAACCTTTCTTGAATTTATGGATGTCATATTTCAACGCTTCAAACTTTTGGTGAAATTTCCAGTACGATAGCAATACATCATCATTTTTTCATAGTAGGTATATCCATGAGGCAAATGTTATTAAAAGGGCGTTATTGAATACCTTCGTAACATACAGATATCCACAATAAGTACGCTAAAAGAAAACAATTATAGATGTGAATACCGATTTCGAAAACTTAATTCTTTTTACTCTGTTATAAGAACTTTCAATAGTGAATTCATTGCGATACATTTTCGTAATTAATAGAATAAAATGTCAAGGGCGAATGCCGTGGGTAGCGATCGATACCGCGGCACCTTTGATAATGCTACCGAAAGTCATAAAAAGACATATAAGAACATAGGGAATGTCTCCAGAACTTCCGGATCACTTCGTATCAGTATAAATGACTAAATAATAACAATTAAATCCATTGGACCACGGCGAATCCCAGAAACCTTTCACGATGACGTATAAAACTTCGAAACTAATTCTTCCCCAATATATTTAAAGACAGTATTCTAATCTATACAGCAATCGCAAACAATTACAGATGTGGATATCGACTTCGAAATTAATTAAAACTTTTTATTCGATTATAAGAATTTTCAATAATGAATTCGTTGCAAAATATTTTCGCAGCCAATAGAACAAAATGCCAAGAGCGAATGCCGTGGGTAGCGATCGATACGGCGGCACCTTTGGTAATTGTCGACAGTGAATATTTGCAATCGTAAATCAGACAACAGTTTGCAAGCCTAACGGAACATTTGAAATGTCTCCAGAAATATTCAAGATTTAGTATAAATCACACCACTGGACTACGGCGAATCCCAGAAACCCTTCAGGACGACATTTAAAGTTTGTTATGATTCTTCTCCATTACATTTTAAATCAGTGTTCTAATTTATAATTCAATCGAAAAGAATAAAGATTTGATTAGGCGATGATGAAACCGGTAGCAGCTTTCAATTGCGCTACCACCTAAAACAATTTAGAAGGAATGTACTCATTTCCGAACCGACAATCAATTTGAATCTTTCGAGTAGATACCCTCTAGCGCCTGCTGTTCGAAAAGGAGAAAGGATAATGCTCTCACGTTTATGCGTAGGGTGTACGGCGTACGATGCTGTTCGGGGAACGGCGCATCGTGGCAGCGGCGCTTTAAAAAAAATCGTCGGATCCTATAGCTCTCGTGTCGTACATTTATCAACATCGCTGAAAGATTTCCGGATTGGGGAGTTTCGAGGGCCGAGCACTTTTGAAAAGCGTATCCATACATTGTATGCCTCTACCTATCGCTGCAACAGATCGAATCGTCTATAATTTTCCGAGGAGTAACAGATTGGAAAACATGCATGCAAATTGATGAAAAATGTTTCGCGATTTATCTTCAACTTTCCACAAATATTCCGGTGGAAATCAAGTAATATATGAGACTAAATCGGTTCTTCCGAAGAAAAAAGGCATTAGGGTAGGAAATGTTTGTAATAAATATGGTTGGGCATCACTCTCTTGCAAATTTAGAAATATAGTTACAGATTACCGTAACACATTGGTTCACTTTCCTGTTTGTTGTTGTCATTTACATCCTTATCTATCCCTTTGTTCCACACAATTGCAGAATTTCTTATCCTTTTTCTTTGTTCAACTTCTATAAGAAGTGTCTAACAAATTTTTATTGCTCGCAAGTGCCTTAAGTGGATTAGTATGTATAGTTCAAAAGTTAAAACGATTGTTAGTGTAATTCTGAAATCACTTTCGTTCCTTTCGACTCCAAATTGAAATGTTTCGGAAGCGTTTCACATACGTTCCCGTCATTGGGCAAATCGATCCCGATCGCGAACTTCCTGGAGTAAAAGAATTGCTCCACGATTTGTGAAAATTAGGCCAATCGCGTTGCTGGTCTGGCCGTTTCCTGAAGAACGATAACTCTTAGCTATTTACTATACAAAAAATCGAGTAAAAATTTTCTAAAGTTTTAGTATTCCAAAAGTTAGATAAGATGCCTATATGAGATTGAATTTTGTACGAATCATGACGGCATACCTCAGCATATTATTGTGACAGTAACTTTCGTCCTGTCATGTGTTGACAAACAGGGATGTTAGTTTCAGCTGGGTAAAACTTTCTATGTCCAAAAGCGCGAGTCGGACTTGTTCATTGAATACTAAAAATATGAGTAAAGCGATAGAGATAAAAATATAGAATAGCGCAAGCATACGTTCAGGAAGTGGTGTCGGAGGAGAAGGATGATGATGAAAATACAGTGGATAGAAAAGGTTACAAATGTATTGGAAAAGGAGAACAAAAGATGCAACGGATTTTAACAAGGAAAAGAATGGTAGGACTCCTCTTGAGAAAGGAAGAGTTAGTAAAGGAGACTTTGGAATCAGAAACAGGAGTGAAGAGAGACAGAGGAAACCCTGGATTAGATTACTGTTGACAAACAGTTAGAGATGTGGTTAAAACCTCTGTAAGACGTTGTCCCACTAACTATTAATTTAAATAGAAGAACAATTAAAAAGTACATCTGCATGAGCTTTCTTTGCCAAAGTATTTTCATTGATACTCCACAAATATAGATAGAACGTTCTGTCACGTAAATAAGATCCCATTGGACTTTTAGAGTCGTTATGAAAACCTGATCTCTGCTAAAAAACAGATCTTCATTTACAATTTTCATCTAATCTTGCAAATAGTGTTGGACGAAAAATGCGGCCAAGTAAGATTAGATTTTCCCAATGTAATTTGTATGTTGGTAGCCCGGCCGTTCCTGATGGTGTTCTTTATATCAACCCTTCGGTGAAT